TCCACTCCACATCAGCTTGGGGAGAGGGCAAGTTATTTTATGTCTCTTTGTTTGAACTCCTCTGTGTAAAACAGAAGCAATCTGTATTTTTAGTGGTTATTGAAAAGACTAAAATCAATAGCACCATACTTAACAGACAATAATAACAACATAATGTTTCTTCTCCTTCCCCTCTTCACAAAGCTAATCCTTTCCACCACAGGAAGAGGGTACCCTGAGAACAATACTGTGTCTTTTATTTTATTTTATTTTTCTTTGCTTTTCTTCCTATCCATACGTACCAAAGGCTGAGCACAGAGTTGGTGCTCAATAAATACTTGTTTTTTATTTACCCAGTTTGATCTGAATCGACCAATACAAAGGTATTGAACAAGTCATTCCTCTAATTGAATAGGAAATTGAGATAACTTGGGATTTTGACTCAAGAGAATTAGTTTGAGTCCATCTGTAACTTTGAAGTTACTTGATCTTTGGTGCAAGTTATTTTACTTATTCAATTACATGAGATAGTATATAAACATGTATTTGTAATGTAAAATGCTGTACAGATTAAAGCAGCTTTCTTGCCCATAGAGTTTATCCTCTCTTTTAAAAAGACAAGATCTTCAGTGTATCAAAGGGATATCTGCACTCCCATGTTTATTGGAAGACTATTCACAACAGCAATGGTATGGAAACAACCTAAATGTTCATCAACAGAGGAATGGATTAAGAAAATGTAATATATATACAGAATGGAATACTATTCAGCCATAAAAATGAATGAAATTCTGTCATTTGCAGCAACATGGAACTGAAGGTTATTATGCTAAGTGTAATAAGTCAGAAATAGACAAATATCACATGTTCTCACTCATATGCAGGACCTGAAAAAATTGATTTCATAGAGGTAAACAGTAGAATAATAGATACTAGAGGCTGAAAAGGGTGTGTGTTGGGGGAGGAGAAATGAATAAATATATGTTAATAGGTACAAACATACAATTTGATAAAACAAATAAGCCTTTTTTTTTTTTTTTTTTTTTGAGATGAAGTCTCACTCTGTCACCCAGGCTGGAGTGTAGTGGCGGGATCTCAGCTCATTGCAACCTCTGTCTCTGGAGTTCAAGTGATTCTCCTGCCTCAGCCTCCCTATAGCTGGGATTACAGGCATGCAACACCACGCCCAACTAATTTTTTGTATTTTTAATAGAGATGGGGTTTCACCTTGTTGGCCAGGCTGGTCTCGAACTCCTGACCTCAAGTGATCTGCCCACCTTGGCCTCCCAAAGTGCTGGGGTTACAGGACTGAGTCACCTCACCTGGCCAGAAAGAATAAACTCTAATGTTTGATAACACAATAGGGTGACTATAATTAAGTACAATATATTGTATATTTCAAATTAACTAGAAGAGAAAATTTGAAATGCTTTCAAACAAATACATGAAAAATGTTTGAGGTAGTGGATATCCTACTCTGATTTAGTCATTAAACAATCTATGCATGTGTCAAAATATGTGTACTCCATACATATGTACAAAAATTGTACATCAATAGCAATAAATAAAAGATAAGATTTGCATTCAGGGTCTTTTTACAGAATGATTTATTAGGTATATTCTGACAGTGGGAATTGCTTGGAAATCAGGTTTTGTGTGAAATAATCTAAGAAAAAAAATTCATGGTTTCATCATTGGTGGGATCAACTGACTGGCCTACACGTTTATTTCATCAACACTTTTCACTTGGTATTTACAGTATTTGGAAACTAATCACATATTTATTATACCACTTAGCTATTCACTACTGCTACAGGCTCAAGATTAAATGTAATGGTTGGTTTCATCTTAACTCTGACCATATACTAAATGATTAAAAGCCAAATCTAGTGACACACCCTGGACCATAAGCTGCCTCTCTATCGATTTCCGTCTTGCTTCTTCATTTCTTTCCCATTTTCAGCCTATTTTGTAAATTTTTTCCTCTGGTTGTTGTCTGCCCTGAAGATTTCTCCTGTGAGTCTGCCTTTAACCTAGGAATAGCAAATCAAGTATAAAAACAGTAGACATGATCATTTGTGGCTTGGGTTTGTGTGAATGTTTGTAGGATTGGAAGAAAATCTAGTGGATATAAAGTTTGATCTTCCAAGTAACTGCTCTGGAAGCTAGAGGATTAATGTAGGGTCACATCCATTGCAGGGAAGGGAAGAGGCCTGGAGGGCTAGGAGCAGGGTTAATCACTCAGGTGGTTTCCCTGACCTTGATGTATATTTGACACTAGGGAGTGGGAGAGGAACAATAGTCAATCTTACTTGAACATCCATTTCCTAGTTAAGTGTATGTTTTATCTACCTGCATTCCATACCTGCAACAATTAGATCAAATGTAGAACTTCTTATTCACAAATGTCAGCCTCATGACAGTTCTTTCTGCCTCCAGTTCTCTCTCCTCTTCCTAGACCCTCCATCACATTTTCTGCTCTTTGGAACTCTCCTTTAAGGCCTCAAACAAGCCCCATGTCCATCCTCACACAGACCACACCCCTATCTGTGTTTTGATTAAAGGAACTGACCACACTGCCAAGGCAAATGTGCCCAAATTATCAATGGATTTAAACTAAAATAATAATAATAATAATAATAATAATAATAATAATAATAATGAAAAATATTCTGAGCAACAAAGGACAAATCTGGTAGAAAAGAAAGCAATAAAAACCAAAGCTAATTTTACGGAGAATGGGAGTTTCCTACCGTCCTTCAAATTACTCTTCCTCTGAAGTATTTGCTTGTCTAGATATAAAACTATCTTTATGAGAAAACAAGTGTTTTAACACTGAGACGATCCTAAGCACAGCTGTTTAATTCATTTTATTTGAGAAACTATTCCTGCCTTTCATAGTATACACAAAGAAAAGAACAAACTATCAAGCACACTCATTTACATAATCTGTTCAGTTTAAAATGATAATTAGTTAGTCCCAGGGTAGAATATACAACTCAGCAGGCAAAAGTAATTTTAAAATCATTAGACTTATACATCATGGTCAGGAGGTCAACACACTTGAATTTCATTATGCAATAAGAAAAAGCACTTTCAGTTCCCACATCTTTGTTCTGTGCCTGTATTTAGAAGAGTAAATTCGAAAATACTATGGGAAGAAGAATCCGTTTCTACCAATTACCTTCGGGAAGAAAGTCAAATTGGTGACCCAGTGATTCTGTTTTTAAGTGGAGACCTTGATCAGTCTTGATTCATTTAATGGTCTCAGAAAGGAACAGATTCCTTCCACCAAAAAGCACTTATTATAAACCTATCTATGATTGAAGCAGAACTTGTTCACTGTCTTGCCTTAAATTCCTGTAGCATCTATTCTTTTTATATTTACAAGGCAGTCAGACAGTATAGAAAGAGTGATGTGGAAGGACCTCTGAGTTCTAGTCTGATTTGGCACCCCTGTTTTCAGCTACAGATGATTAGTAAATTTCTGTCTTTATTTAGTTCCTGTAGATCTTGGGTCTATACACTTTATGGATCCAAAGTTTAATCTTCTTAATCCAGCAAGTCTGTTGAATGGGCAGCATATAATTTCCCCTGGGTTATTCATGGAAGCTTTTCCTCCCTGGAAAATTGCTCAGCAACTGAGTGAAGCCTTTCAGGAAGGCGTTCTCACTGCTGTCTATATTTGTGAGTCATGTGATAACCTGACCATGTTGACCATCTTATTATTGTAAAGAGCAGTTCAAACTGCCATTCCAAATAATTACTGTGAATAGAACACAGAAGACCAGGCAACACCAAATTGAGTTGTTGATGGTTGCTTTTGTAACCCAGAAACTGCACCTGTGGCTTTGTATTAAAAACATAATGTTCTTACCACTTCAGATAGTGACTTTATGAGCCTGACCTTGAAGGAAGTGATAGTTCAGTGTGTGCAGCTGGTTGGTTATGGTCTCTAAATTCTGCCCGTTACATTAGGGGTGAGGGTATCTGTCAAGAAAAACAACTGGACAGCTGCAAGAATTTTTAGAAATTCTCACTCCTTGTTTGCTTCTGGTAATCTTTTTATTTCTCTGTTTTCGTCATCTATGTATCTCATTTTCCCACTGTTTGAATGATAATTTAAATACAGCTTTCCTCAATCCTCTTTATTTCTAATACTTTTAAATCCTTGCCATGGATGTTTACATTCACTTATTTTTATATTTAACTTTTTCATTTCAACTTTACCATTGATTTATTTTCTGTTCTTTTAATCCTCTAAATTATAACATATCTATTATATGACATTTTGTTTGCTTTTGCTATTTCTACTCTTATTTATTTTATTTTTAATTACTTTTTAATCTGCATCTCCTAACCTCACACACTACTTATATTCTCTCTGCTCCTTGTTATCCTTGAGTTTTTCTTAAGTTTCTTTGAATTTGATTACCCTTTATGCTGACTTTTAAGAAACATAGCCAGAAAGGTGGTGTTAATTCGAGAGAATCCCAATAACAACAGATGGTAATGGACTTTTTCTTTGTCCTTTAATTGCCATTGTATGCTCTCCAGTACTGGACGTCACACCTGGCTCTCCTCCTGTCCCTCCGAACATCTCCCTGCAATTTAGGCTCAACCTAGAGACACAGGAAGTTCACAGAGCCACCCTCCAATTAGAAATAATTATTACTGTGTAGGTAGTAGAGTTTAACCTTTTGTAAAAGTAGTACTTTCTGGTGTGTCATACTTTCCAGATTTTATATGAAGAGATGTGTGTTTTATAGCATTAATATTACTTTTACTTTTGTAATTCTAGTTCTCAAAATCATGTTTGAAAAAGCCATGATAATCATATATGTCTTTAAGGTGATCATCTAATATATGTAGATAGACATCAGAATATATATATTATTCTTATATATATATAAGGTGATCATCTAATATATATATATTAGACATCAGAATCAGATTTTGGATGAGCTATTCTAATTGTACTCATGAACCATAAGACAAAAAAGAACCATGTAAAGACGATAGTCAGGCTTCTGGCTCAAATCCATTTGTAAATATACTTATTTCCACCTGTCCAGATGGTTCTTCCAATTATCCAGGAAGGATCCCAGGAATTTCTCTTAGTGTTCCACTACTCATAGACAACGGTGAGAGGTCACGGAGGCAACACCTGTGCCCTGCCGGAAAAGGGTACAAACTAGTCAGAAAACTAGTCTAGGGCAGCACCTGTGCCCTGTCCGAAGCGCCCCTTAATTTTTTTTTTTTTTTTTTTTATGACAGAGTCTGGCTCTGTCGCCCAGGGAGCAGTGCAATGGTGAGGTCTCGGCTCACTGCAAGCTCCACCTCCCGGCTTCATGCCATTTTCCTGCCTCAGCTACAAGCACCTGCCACCACGCCTAATTTTCTGTATTTTTAGTAAAGACGTGGTTTCACCATGTTAGCCAGGATGGTCTCGATCTCCTGACCTTGTGATCTGCCCGCCTCGGCCTCCCAAAGTGCTGGAATTACAGGCATGAGCCACCGCGCCTGGCTGGGATGCTAATTTTTACTTCCAGAACATGAATTTAGTTTTTAGGCAACAAGAGAAGCATGATAAGGCTGAGTCTAAGCCTTTTCAGTCAGTCCCCTGCTTACTTTCAATGTGAGAACAGAAGATACTATGAATCTTTACGCTCCAGGCCATGTGACAATTCCCTTCACTTTCCATATTTCTTTCCCCGGAATTAATGGTGAGTCTCCTTTCAAGTTACCACCAAGGTTCAATTTTCATTCCATGAAAGGTCTTGGGTCACCATTGCCTAACCTAACTGATTCTCTTATATTAACTCAACCAACTTAATTCCTTTAACAGCCAACTGACTTTGTTAATTATTTTCTGCAAAAATGAAGGGCTGCATGCCACCTATTCTAAAACCAAAGTTATCACTAAATAATAGCCTTGCATTATGTAACTGAATGGTAGTTTCAAAATCTACAGGTAGTTTAAACAATGTAGTCACCTAAGTGGATGTTTTACAAACAAATTATCTATGCTGATGCTCCAAGTAGTGGCCACAGTGAATTATTCTATCGTTACTCAACTATGAGGTTTATTTTCATTTTAATGATGAATGTAAGTGTTCGATAGTAATTTCACTGAATCTTTTATAACTGTTTTTTGAATTGATAATTGCATATGTATTACATACAAAATACTGACAAATCTTTCTCCAGAGTGGTTGTAAAAATTCATGATCTTGCCAGCAGAGTCTGAGAGTTTCTTGTCAATGCATATCCTTGGCAGCACTTATTATTGTCAAACTTCTTCCTTTCATTTTCCAACCTGATAGAGAATAAAGTGGTGTTCATTGTGGTTTTATTTTACGTTTTTCTAAATGCTTGACATTGAACATCTTTATATGTTTATTGACCATTCCATTTTATTCTTATGTGAATTGCCTAGACATATCCTACGTTTATTTTATATTTTGCCATATTACCTTTTCGTACTGATTTGTATGTGAGTTCCTTGCCCATTCCCTTTTTCTTTTTTATGCTGGAAATATCTTCCTTAGTTTTTTTACTTGTCTTTGAATTTTGACTTTATTTTTGCAGTCTTTTGTTTAAAAAAAAAAGTGTATTATTTTTGTACAAATATCTTCATTATTTTGTGCATTATTTTTGCCTTTTGAGCCTGATTTAAGAAATCTTTTACTATCCTGAGGTCTTTAAGTCAGTCTTTTTCATATTTTCTACTAATTAATTTACAGTTTTACTTTATTTTGTATGTGATTTAATGAAGATATCTAATGCTATTTTATTTTTCTCAAATAGAAAACCTATTACTTCAACAATATTTATTAACATTCTTCTTTTTCTCAGCAATTTCTGATACTTCCTCTAAAATATAACACAGTCTTATGCTGGTCAGCATCTAAACCCTGTATTCTGTTCTTTCTTGCACAAATACTGTATGGTTCTCATTACTATAGAAAAAATAGCATTACACAAAACCTCAAACACATTAGGCAAAGTCTTCTCTCCTTGTTTTTGTTTGCTTGTTTGTTTTAAGAATTTCATTTTTGGACTTTTCCACATGAATTTAGAAAACTGACATATATTTTAAGTAACCAAATAACTTCCATAACCTGGATTTTTTTTTTTTTTTTTTTTTTTTGAGACGGAGTCTCGCTCTGTCACCCAGGCTGGAGTGCAGTGGCCGGATCTCAGCTCACTGCAAGCTCCGCCTCCTGGGTTCACACCATTCTCCTGCCTCAGCCTCCCGAGTAGCTGGGACTACAGGCGCCCGCCACCTCGCCCGGCTAGTTTTTTGTATTTTTTTTAGTAGAGACGGATTTTTTTTTTTATGTTTTCAATATTTGGTAATTTAATAGAGGCAGATGTTATTATTAGATTTGTTTATAAGTATGTATTTTATTTTGCTAACATGGATTTTAGCTTTTAGTATTTTATTTTTCTAATTTTCATTACTTATATTTAAAAATGCTACTAATTATTGAAAATGTACCTTGTATTTGTCACATTTGCTGAACTTGCCTACTAATTCTTACATCATATTTCTGAAAAACCTTAGAATAGTCCATGTAGATCTCAAATTGTCAGTAAATAACATTTTTATTCCAACCCTTAAATTATTTTTTTCATCTGAATGTACTGCCTGTATATTCTTGCATAATGTCAACCTGTGTGATGGTAGGATTTTGATACATTCTTACTTAATGAAATAATTCTAATATGTAAACATTAAAACATGATGCTAGCTCCCAGTTTCTTTATCTCCATTTGCTGGGAGAGATTGGTTGTTTGGTTGATTGATGTGGGAAGATATAAATATAAAATTTTATGGAATTTTTTTTGCATATCTTGCAGTGATTAAATCTTTGTTCTCTCTTAATCTGTTTCTCTATCAGTTACAATATTAAACATTATCATGTTGAGATAAACCTAACAATCCAGATGTTCATATTCTGGCCATGCCACTTACTACGTGAACAGTCTTGGGAAAGTTACTACCATCTATATGCTTCAGCTTTCTCTTCTGTAAAATGGATGTAAGAGAGTGCCTGCTTCTCCTGGAGATTAAATATGTATAAACCCAATTAGGATTTTTTTTGTGTGTGAAAAAGGTAAAATTCTCACTCTCAAATAAATATCCAATGAACATTTGCCAATAATTTTAATTGACTAATTAATGAGGGATTTAGCAAGATGTCACAACTGATTCAAAGGAGAGTTAGAAGTGCTCCACATATAGACAACAAGCAAGGCAGAAATTAATTTACAAAGGGATGTCAAATGAGTCTATCCACAGGGCAATAATTAATTGCATTCCACCCGATGAAATTTATGCATTTATATAGTCAAGAATTATTTGCATTGTTATCAGTTTTCTACAACTTACAGAGTTGTAAAATAGCTGAAAAAGAGTGAAAGGCATAGAGATTGCACAGAGGACTTAAGCTCAAAGGGTATACTAGCTAAACCCTGGTTCTCAATTGAACATACCGAATATATTTTTTGATCCATTTAAAACTGATTATAATTTTTCCTAGAGATTATTGTAAATTAATATACATATATACATAAAACACATAGAACAGTACCAGGCATGAAATCTTTGCTACTGTTATTCCTGTTGATATTATTTTATATATTATTAGAATTGATTTGCTTATATTTTATGTCACATTTTTACATCTATGTACATTAGTAAAATTGTGCTATAGTTTTGTGTAAAATGCTTAGTTTACAAATTTTTTAAATCAGGTATGTTCTAGTATACAAAAAATGTATACTTTAAAGATGTTTTGGGGGACATTATGGATGCATTATTCCTTTAAGAAAAATTGTTATTAGTCCTAGTACTAGAAATATTTTGTTTTAATCAGGCAATCAATTAACTTACACCATAAAGACATTGAATTATGTGGCTGGTCCTATCTCCTGGTTAACACTATCTGTTAAAAGTTTAGAACTAAATTCTTTATCTCTAGCCTATATTGAATACATTATGGAATGAATTTGTCTTCATGTATTTTTTCTACTCTTTTCTTTGTCCCATATTCTCCATATACTTATACTAATATTTATTTTGTCTTTAGAGATTATGTGTATTAATGGAAATAATTTTCATCAGTTATTAAAAAACCCGAGGTGACCATTATTTTTCATTAAATTAAATAACATAAGTTTGACTAAATTATCAAATTTATTTGACTAAACAGATTGATGAATTCAGCCAAAATTGTAGAACTGATTATATGTGCAAAATGTCAAATTCCTGCAATTAATGGAGTTGATGGGAATGGTCCAATCTAGTATTTTGTTAGCTTGAAAATAGAAGTTAATTCAACTTCATGAATATGGCTCTCTGAATATGACCTTTTATCAGGCATAGAATAACTTGCTGAAATTCTATCAATAAAGTCTTGATAGTATGTGTTCTGCATTTTTCTTCATTATCAAAATTTTTCTCCTTAGTTTTTTTCTCTCATAATTTAAACACACACACACACACACACACACAAACACACACACACACACAAACACAGGATTTAAACTAGCTTATAGCTAGAGATTTGCCTAGGAGAATAATTTGATATGAATATCCTTATTAAAATCCCACTGCTTCAAATGGATTTTTAGATTAATATATCTGCAGAGATATAAAATTATCTGATTTATAACCATGCATTATTAGATCTGAAATGTCAGTTATTATCTCTTCAGCTTAATACTTAGATTACCATATAATTTTATGCATCTTTGAGAAAAAAGGTTGAAAAGTAGCACGGAAATGAATCTTGTGCATAGTGTTACAATTGTCAATGGAGTGTCAAAAATAGCTATGAATATTGCACTCTTATATTGACTTAATTCCAAGAAAGAATGGACAATGGTAATGAAAGTGGAACACATCTCCATAAGTCATTCCTTGTTTATGACTAATCTTTGTAACAGTCTAATTGACTTACTGTGTCAGTTACAACCTTCCCCTTGTTCTTTGGCTTTTAAATTGTAAATGTATGAAATTAAACCAAGAGAATTTATCAACTCAACATTCACTTCTTTCAGTGTATAACATTCAAGGTTAAAAATATGGTACCTTTTGAAGAAGAGTTGAAAGTTCAAATATTTCTCACAAAGTTATAGACTCATGCATCTAGAACCATTAGTAATAGTGAAATTAATATTTTCTCATGTTTTTTTTTAACCATCATTTACTGAATAACTGTTTGATTTAAATAAACAAGTAAATGAGTGGAAACTGTCTGAAGATGAACCAAAAGTCTTCATTTGAAAAGATGACGACTTACACAGAATTATGTCGTACATGTGAAGAGTGTTTCCCGATAATAGTAAGGTTGAACACATCTTGTTCAAACAACTTCCCCATGCTTGAACAGGAAAAGGATAAGCTGATAGGGAGAACATGAGCTTCAATCTCAGGTCTGCCTCTTTCTCATTTATTAACTTCACTCTGTTAATTGAGCCCATTTTCTTATCCATTAAATATGTGTATCTATCTCAAACATTTTCTGTAAACATTAAATAAAATGGTGAATGTAAAACTTCTGGTGTAGTACTGGTGCATAACAGACATATAATAAATTACAGATGTGCTTACTAGTATTATTTTATTCCAATCCACATTCTCTTTTTATAATTAGAAACAAGTATGCAGGGATAAATTGCCAGCCACAGGTACAATCATATTAGGCAGAACTTAAAAGCAGAAGCTTGATCTCTTGATTCTCCTGTAACGCCGTTTACACCTAAGTATGCTTTTTATATTAGCAGTTATTTAATCACCTAATCTTTGCTTCCACAGTTTTTATCAAAGTTCACTGCAGCAAGTATGCATTTGATCAATGCTTGTGGAATGCAGATGCATGGAAATAACAAGGTCATTTTCCTCTCACTGAGTTTTTATCCAAGCTGGATAAAGGTAAACTTAAATAATCAGTTAGGGATTGGCCATATCCATCTCCATAGTTTTGAAACAAATGTGTGAAATATTTTGTGATGAATATCCTCGCAGTGAAATTTGGCTGGCTCTGAGGCTTTATTTTTGTAAAATACCACAGCTGAGGGAGCACTCAGAGACATTTTTCTGACTAAAAATGAAAATGGGTATTTTTTGTCTTTACCCATCACAAAGCAGGCTTAGAGTTATCTGATTTGAGGCTATCAGCCACATCAGGAATTTCATGCCTCTTTGTTGCCCCCCAGTGCTGATTTATTTACTAGAACCTCTGGGGATGCTCCACAGATAGGCTTTCCACCATAGTTTTCTTGGGCACAGTATCAACAGTAGGAATCACTTAGTTTATTTCTCCTGCCTAAACTCTGCTTTCAAGGGCACATGCCTTGGTTGCCAACTTTATTGTAGTTGTTATTCTCTTTGGATGTTGGCCAGCGTTTTGCATTTTGAATTTCATGCAGATGCTTTTTATGCTATGAGTTCCCAATTCTTATTTTCAAAAAGTGTGTATGTCTTTACATTTGCCTAGTACCTTATATATTTTTTGTGTGGTTTCAAAGACATGGTGTCATTGTTTCTTCAGATATGTAAAATAAAGATATTATTGATAAACCTTTAGCAGAAAGAAACAGGATGCATAGTTTTCGGAAGGTTCTGATTATTGTGGAGTAATTAGATCAGAGCTGAAGCACGGTGCGGGTCCCCTGACTCTCCATTTAGTGTGCTTTCAACCCGTGTGCCTGATTGAGGCAGTGATTTCTGGTGTCTATTAATATTGTACAACAATGTATTGGAACCAACCATTGCAGATGAAACTTACTAGAGTAGAAAATCTAAAGAGACCTGGGCAGCTCTTTTTTAAACTGCCACCATCAACTGTTGCCAACAACATGTGCATAAGTTTTCTTCAACATGAGTGAAATCGCCAAATAACTTCAGGGTCTAAATTTTGGATCTCAAGTTTTATGCATGATTAGCCATTGAGCCAAGTATAATTAGGGTCATTTATAAAGCATTCCCTACAGGTGTAGAAGCTTTAAAAGGAATAGAAAACAGTTCTGAGTTCTGAACTACTTATTCTTTAATTGGAGGAAAAATAAAACAGTTTCAAACACAAATGCAATCCTAAAGTAAAAATACTCTACAAGCATGAATGGAGTTAGCCAGCGTCTCGTATCTCCAAGTTCTGCACATATTGTCTCCTCTGCATTTATCTTTCTTCTTGCCTTACCTAATTCCTACTGGATTCCTGCAGGAGGGGATACACTTCCAAACTATTTTAGGGTCCTATATCAGGTCTTTTCTGATCTCATTATATAGAACAACTCCTTCCCCTTTCTCCCATTTTAAGTTCCTGTATTTTCAATGGCCACAGTTACCCAGTTTCTACTTTACATGAACTTTTGTTAATAGTTTGATTAATGTGTTTTTTTTCTCCATTTGGTTCCAGGCTCTGTGAGGTTAGGCACCGTGTTCCTTTTTATATGCTTTTGTATCACAGGGCTTCACCCAGTGTTATGCAGATAATCTGTAATTAGTAAGTATTTGCTAAATGAATGCATGAAACTTCCCTGCCTGCCAGCATTGTAATGGAAGGGCAAGTAGTCAAAGGATAGTACACATATTCCAAACTAAACTATTGTCATTTTAAGCTGAGTAATTCTCTGTTAAGAGCAGGCTACCTGTGCATTACCGGATGTCTACGGCTCTGTGCCTTCTACTCACCAGGTGTTAGTAGCACCTCCAGTACCTCCTCTTCTCTTCCAGTCTTGATAATCATAAATGTCTCCAGATATTGATTGCCAAATATCCCCTGGGTGCAAAATTACCCCTGGTTGACAACTACTGCTTTAAAGTAACAGTTACAGCCTTATCATCCATATTTTCCCAGCATGAACTGTCTACTCTATCAAAACTAACCTACTTACAGTCATGTGAATCCACCTTGTACCATCCTGATGCCACAGTTTAAGGTGGTATTTTTGTTCATCACCCCTTCTTTAAATCTTTTCACCATGCTACATCATTTCCTCAAATCCTCTTTGTTATACAGGGTCTGGTTCTAATTCCCATTAGTTACATAAAGTCTTCTCTATCAGTCAGGGTCTGTATTTGTCCGTTTTTCATTGCTATAAAAGAATACCCAAGACTGAGTAATTTACTAAGATAAAAAGGCCTATTTTGGCTTAGAGTTTTGTAGGCTGTACAGAAAGCATGACACTGGCATCTGGTCCTGGTGAAGGCCTCAGGAAACTTTTATTCATGGGGGAAGGTGAAGGGGCAACAGGTGTGTCACATGGAAAGAGAGAGAGCAAAAAGAAGCTAGACTCTTTTAAAACAAGAAGCTCTCCTGCTAGTTCAATACCATGGGGAGAGTCATTCATGAAGGATCTACCCCTGTTATCAAAACACTTCCCACCTGATCTTACATCAACGTTACAGATCACATTTTAACATGCAATTTGAAAGGGACATACATCCAAACTATATCAGTGTCCTAGCAGGAAATGGAGGGCAATCAGTTAAGGAGAAAAAGACTATATACAAAGGTGGGCAGAGTGTAGAAAGGATGGTTAATATATCATAGTTTTTCTATCTCCAGACCTGAAAGGATAAAGAGAAGAAATGGTTAGCAGAATCTGGCAAGAAATCTTGTAGAGAGACCCACCTTAATAGGCTCTGTGACTTTCAGCACAAGGGCCTAGGCAAACTTTTAACCAGGGGTCCTTGCTCCCAGAGCTCCTAAGATGGTAACTGGCCACTTCCAAAATGGCAGTGGGCCACTTCCAAGATGGTGGCAAGCCTCGTGTTCTCTGACCTGGGGTTCGTGGCCTCAGAGATTCCAAGGAATGGAATCTTGGGCCATGTAGTGAGTGTTTTAGCTCTATTAGAAGCCATGGGTCACAGAAGAGAACCATGGAACCCAGTGACTAGTTGTTCAGCTCAATTAGGACGAACCCAGGCACTTAGCCGAGCAGGAACAACAGCAAGCCGTTAGCCCCATGGGGAGTGGCAATGGGGCCTTGCTGGATCAGGAGCACAGCACACACCCTGCTGGATCCAGAGGGATAGAAGTCAGCAGTGGGTCTGTGAGGGTGGCGGCAAACAGCAATGGTGGACAGCAGCGAAAACTCAGCGGTAACAAAACACGGACCAGAAGAGTGCAGTTGCAGGATTTAATAGAGTGAAATAGAGTGAAAACAGAGCTCCCATATAAGGGGAGGGGACCCGAAGGGGGTTACCTTTGCCAGCTCCAATGCCTGGGTTTATATCCTGATCCTTGTCCTTCCCGCTGTGCTCTCAGGCAATAGATGATTGGCTATTTCTTTACCTCCTGTTTTTGCCTAATTAGCATTTTAGTGAGCTCTCTGATTGGTCGAATGTGGGCTAAGTTGCAAGCCCTGTGTTTAAAGGTGGATGTGGTCACCTTCACAGCAAGGCTCAGGGATTCTCAGTTGGCCTAGGAAATCCGGCTAGTCCTGTCTCTCAAAACCAAGGTGAACAATTAAGAAGAAAGCCAGGGGAATAAAAAGTGTGATGTCACCCTTCTTCATTCCAATCCCTTTCATGGTTCCGCATTGGCTGAATCTTACAGGAGGGCAGAGAGTTATAAAGCCTATTGATGTAGCCCCTGCAGGTCAAACTGCTGGGACAGAGACCAGAGAAGAATATTAAATGTAAAGCCATGAATGAAAGATAATTCAGTTCACCCTTTTTTTTTTTTTTTTTTTTTTTAAACTGGTTTGTTTCTGCCTTCTACCTAAACACTCATTTTCTGTTTGAGGTCAGGGTCATGATGATGTTCATCTGTATATCTATAGCTCCAAGAATAGTTTCTGATGCTTTAAATGTAGTGATCAAATGAATGAGTATTTCTCAGTCAATGCTGAACTAAAGGTGAATGCCAGTAGTGAAATGAAAATGGAATTGACTTCATATCTGTGGGTTCATTATCCAGGGGTTCAGCCAAGAGTGGATCAAAATATTTGGGGAAAAAATAATTTCCAAAAGGTCCAAAAAGCAAAACTTAACTTTGTTCTGTGCTGAGTACTGTATTGAATCCACATGAATAAAATGATATGTAGACATTATATTGGTATTATAAGTCATCTAGAGATTACTTAAAGTATACAAAAGTATATGTGTAGGTTATATGCAAATGCTCTGGCCTTTTATATAAGGGATTTGAGGATCTGTGGATTTTGGTATCCACAGGGTATCCTGAAACGAATCCTTTGTATGTTAACAGGTATGGTAACGAGTGTACTCTACTCATATTAGTAGCACATAGAAAACATCCATTGTTTTTTGTACATATTGATCTTTGTTTTTACTGCTGTTTTTACTGAATTCTCTGTTGACTTGAATGCATTTAACAGGCGAATAAAATGGGATAATGAATACAGGTGGAACAGTTGTACATGTTTGTAAAGTCATTGTTTTACTAGGTAATGAAAGGCAAGCACTCCGTCTTTTAAGAATTGGGGATAACATAAGCAGGGTCAATTAATTGATATTTGTAGAGTACAATGAGATACACATAAAGATGTACTTTACTTAAATATAAAAACATACAATAAAACCCACTTTGTTGGAGAATACATCACCAGGACACAGTCAGGCTTGCTTTAGAAGGAAAAAACAAAAAACAAAACCACACCTAAAATAATAAGGATTCAACACAATATTCTTTGGAAATGAACAGTTTATGAATGGCAATATTTTCTATGTTTGACATATTGCTTACATGTTATTTCAAATCTCTGGTGATTTTAATGAAATGGAACTAAGAGTTTTCAGTATTAAGTGTTATGATAAAAATGCAAGGACTGTGGCATTTACATTGTTTTTGCATAATCCTATTACTTGGTGAATACAAATTTGGTGACTCCAATGATTTGGATGCTATCAGTTCCTCCAATTTCAACTGTAACATCTCATTATATAAGGCAGAAAGAGAAATATTTATTTTAGATAAGAGTATCTCACTTTTGCTCACAAGCTGGGTTTCTTACCACCGCTGCCTTCATTTGTATTTCATATTCCTGAGCAAATGACTTTTCTGATCTAAACTTTGATATAGCATTGATCTGTCATCTCCTTAATTCTGTGCTATATGTGTATAACATTTAGCACTTGTAACAGATATAAGGAATAGGAACATATTTTAAAGACTCAATATATATGAGCCTTTTGGAGACAACTATATCCTTTCTACTTTGAATGTTTCTCCATTTCAGTTCTTTCTGCCTAGAAAAATTCTAACTGTTAACTGGATATACTTTCTGTATTATGTCACTGTTCACCCTACCACATTGTTCTCAAATGCTGCTGTATTGTAGTCCAGATGCTCCATAATTTACGCATTTCTACTTAACCAGTTGTATTGACTATGTCTTCTGAGGATTCATTTTTTAGTACAGTTAGTAGCATGCATACAGGATTTTGTGCTCAAAGCTCATTGCTCTGTTTCTGTGCTTCTTGAGATCCTCAGCTAAGTGAACGTGATCCATTAATGCTTGTAGCAACTTTTCCACATCCACCTAACATTCAAGGTCAAAAATTAGAATCTACGACCTCTGCGAAGACTTAGTTGATGATTCCATTATCCAGAGTTCATTCTTTTCTCAATATTTACATATAGAAAGGGTTAGCACTGTACATTCTATCATTTAAGGTTCTAATTGCTTCATGTGTGAATCCTATCTTTCAGTTTCTCAGAGGAAAAGCATCCCACTTTATACATTTAAAGTGTTTTCCATAGTACCAATTGTAATGTGTAGCACAAACAGGGAAAAGTGGAATTATGAAGGTCTTTTACAGATCCATCTTGCTTAATTTTGCCCATTCTAGGCATCAGTATTTTAACTGTGGGTGTCAGATAATGCATGATCATTTTCTCTGGTGGAATATTTAGTAACTCCTATCTATAATATACCTTATTGTTTTCAAAGAAGTCTCCCATGTAGTATTTCACTTTATGTTAACAATTAAGCATATTAAGTAGATGTCTTATTAGTAGATATGATTACTCTGTTTAATAAAAATTCATCTTGTAAAATCAAAATAACATGACAAATATATTACTCTAATAATACCTACTCTAATGTGTGTTATGAATAAATGCAATTTTTATCTCTAAATAAATTCTGTATATTATTATTAACAGAAAATATAGCACAAAAATAATATAATTTTTCAATAGCCATTAAAATTATTTATTCCAAATGTCTACTCATTGGATGCTTGGTTTGTGCATGTACTCTATTAGGTACTTTATAAATATTATCACTTATTTTAACAACAGCCCTGAAAGAGAAATATTGTTTCCCTATTTTATGTATTAGGAAATTGAGGCATAGAAAAGTTATGTGGTTTGTCTTAGGTTGCACAATTATTACTTGGCCAACCAAAATTTCAAACCCAAATTTCATTGGCCCTAAAGTCCTCCCTCCTTCCCCTGGACCAAACTCCAATTCTCCATCTCCATTTAAAGATAAGCGACACTCATCAAAAATTCAATGCAGATAGACTGAATTACAATACAGTTTTACTTCCATTATAATGCAATTGCCTTCAAAAGCTATGCTAATCTGTTATTTTAAACTCCTTTAGTACATATCATAATTATGACATCTAATAAACGTTAACCTTTTGATGGAAGTAATTTCAAACCTACATGAACATTATCCAATTAATTATTCAAAGACATTGTTGGATAATAATTGTGAAACTAATTATTACAGATCAGACTGGTCACAAAATGGACTTTCTTTTCCATTATGCCAACAAAACTCTGCAAATCTAATCCATTGTCTTACATTCTGTGAAACCTTTTAACTAGATGAAAAATATTAAAAGAGAATCAACTTTGAGAACACAGTGAATCAAATAATCAATTTAGCTTCAACTAAATAGTGGATGTTCTGTCTCCCAAAGTGAATTCAGATCTGTTTAAATAGCTGATGTGATTCAAATCCCTTTTTTCCCCCTGAAATTCTTTCAGAGCCAGATTGGAGTCTGAGAAACTGAAAAAAAAAAAAAAAAGTTTTACTTCCATCTAAATCTTTGCTCTTTGAAGTCTGATTCTCAGACCAGCAGTATAGCTTCCCCTTGAAAGCTTGTTGGGAATGCAGATTCTCAAACCCTACCCCAGAATGTTTCCATCCAAATCTGCATTTAACAAGATCCCCAGTTATTTTTTATGCACCCAAAGTATGTGAGGCACTTCTCTAGCTGATACTATCTGATGTATAGTGAGCAGTGGAACCAAAATAAAGAGGGTCCTCTCCCTCTCTTCCTAGCTAAATCAGGGTCTTCTGTTTTTTTATTGTTGGTTTTCCTTGATCTGACAATGGAGTTGATTCGAATGTACAGCCTTCTGAAAATTAATTATCAGATGTATTATCATTCCTTGTTAGCTTAGATACAGTAGTCATAGGGCCTTGCCTTGCTGTTTACATTGTGTTATTATGTGGGATTATATATTTTTGAATAGAAAGAGTTCTTGGGAACAACGTTATGTAAGCCTTTCATTTACACTTAAGAAACTGAGGCTCCAAGAATTGAGCAGACTTGCTTAAGTATCACAGGCAGTTATTGGCAGAGAAAGGACTAGATAATACATCTCAACTCAAAATCTTCTGTTTCCCAGTGTTGCATTTTACTTATCTATGCACACTTCAATAACAATACTATTTGAGAATGATGGTAATATCTAGCCTTCCTAGGTGAACCATTTGGTGAATTCATTCCCCTAGATGCAGAAGGACATGAGAGTGCCCCTGATTCCATGGTGTGTTGGAGTAG